ACGACCCGGGGCGGGGCGGGACCACGAGGAAGTGTTGTGGCGGCTCACGCCCCCCCCCTACCGCCCTTCGGGGAAGAGATGCCCGTGGTCGTCCAGGCGGTCTATCAAGTCGCGCGCCAGTTGGTGCGCGTTCTGCGATATCTGTACACCCTTGCCGTTGAAGGTCTCGCAGTTCTCGGGGATGAGGTTGATGTCTCGCAGAAGCAACTTGCGGCCCTGGAAGGAGGGAACACCAAGAGGGAGGGAGGGAGAGAGAGAGAGAGAGAGAGAGAGAGAGAGAGAGAGAGAGAGAGAGAGAGAGAGAAACCGTGAAGGAAGACTAGAGCCGTCCGGTAACGCGAGGACAGACAAACACGGTCAAATCCTAACACCTGGGAATGACAAACAGACGAGGATTCTCCACAGCAGTTCGTCCATGGACCAAACTGGTTGAAGGGCAACGCACTCCCTCCATCCCTCCCGGCAGACCCACACCTCTTGAGAGTCGTACTCTCCCTGGCGGAGCTTGAAGAGAATCCTGGCCAGGTCCATGGGCTCCTTCACGATGTCCGTGTACTGCGGGTAGGCCACGAGGTCCACGGCGTCCCGGAAGTGCAAGGTAAACGCCTCCTTCGAGAACCCCTTCACCGCGGACCGCACCACCCTCCGGAACTCGCGCACGTCGCCCGGCAGCACCTCCTCCTCCGCCACGCCCCGCCGCAGCTCATCCTTGAGCGGGACGGGAGCGTTCCGGCCCGACCGCACCACCTTGCTCTTCTTCGCCCCGCGCCCGCCGCCTTGCCCGCCGCCCCCCGCCGACGCTGCGTCTTCGTCGCTATCGACGTCGTTGTCCTCGGCGTAGTTGACGCGGGCGACCCCCCGCCGCTGCCTATCTCGCCCGCCAGAAGACAAGGGTGCGCCGCCGCCACCACCGCCGCCGCCGCCGCCGCCGCCGCCGCCGCCGCCGCCTGCATCGGACTCTTCGCCGCTTGCGCGGCCGCGGCTGCCGCCGGCGCCGGCGACGCCACCGTCGTCGTCCACCGGTTGTTGCCGCCGTCGCTTACGGCTCCCCCGGGGGAGGGCTGCCGCAGGTCGGCGCTGCGAGCACACGACGCACTTGTCGTCGGCCAGGTCGTTGTCGACGGTGCAGATGGGGCACGACCAAGTGGTCGGGGCCAAGGCGTCGTCGTCGACGCCGTCGACGCTCTCGGCGGACGCCGCTGCCGCTGCCGCTGCCGCCGCCGCTGCCGCCGCCGCCGTCTTGAGCCGTTTGTTGCCGCCGCTCGATTTCGATCGCCGGTTGTCGGCCGCCGAAGCGCCCCGCCGCCGCTTCTGGATCTCCTCGCCCGCTTCCTCCTGCTGCTGCGAGATGCGGTTCTGATTCCGCCGATCACGCCCCGCTGCCTCCTCGTCCTCCTCCTCTTCCTCCTCCTCCTCCTCCTCATCATCATCATCATCCTCTTCCCACGAACCCGGGGACAAATCTCTGCTACCCCCGCCTGATGTCTTCTTCGCCGGCCGCCCACGCCGAGGAGGCTTCCGACTCCGCCCGTCGTCCCCTCTCCCCTCTGCCGCACGGCTAGTTCGCGACTGGCGGCCGCGCGGCTTGGAAGGCGTCATGCCAGCGGCCCGGAGGGATGTTCGAGAGCTCCTCCCGACGGCGCGGGCGGCCTTTGTGTCGCCGCCGCCACGGGAGCTTGCCGAGGAGCGTCCTCGGAGCTGGATGCCGTTGCGGAGGCGGGAGCCTCGTTGCGCCCTCGTTGCCACCTGGTGGGTGTATGTGTGTGTCGTTATTATTAGCATCGACCGCGCTAACCGGCTGACCAATGAAAAGACGTAAAGCGTGTGTGTGTGGTTTTTTTTTTTTTAGTGTTAGCGCTAACCGGCTGACAAATGAAGATAAGTCAGTCTTGTAGTAGCGGGATAAAAAACACCAACACTATACTTATTAATCAAGGGATTCTGCCCACGGGGGCTGGACGACAGCAGTGTCCTGCTTCTCCAGGAGTGCAAGAAGACTCAATGCCATGTGTGTGTGTATTGCGAATGGTTCTCGCGCGGACGGTCGTCCGTAGACCACCGCAGGAAAACGGCAAAACCAACACATGCAAGAGAAACGAACGTCTAGAATTGACATGAACAGACATGCATGGAGATGGTGCCCACAGGCAAGCCAACATACGCTCCTCCCCACCCCTGCCTCACACGCACCTTGTCATAAAGAATGGCTCGGTCGAGTGCAAACAGGCGGAGAGCAACGGCTGCCGGGGTGGATAGCCTCAGCAGGTGCCACGCCGATTGCATCTTCTGCTGCGCGGGGCGGTACCATGGCTTCAGCCACTTCTGGTCCAGGCACAACTCCAGCAGCAGCAGGGCCTCCATCAGATCCTGCTCGAAAAAACAAGGAAAACAGAAAATATGGGTGTTGATTGCGGGGTTTGTCACGCCACGTGCAACCCAACGCACAGCGGTTAGCACCAGTGCAACCCAACGCTGTACATGAACGTGACGCACCCAGCATGCCTCCATGTCCATGTCAAGCCCGCGCAACTTTGCTGGCCGCGTTCTACAACCACGAAAATGGAGCCCATACATTTCCCTCGCCGAGATATGCCGGGGCATCCAGTTCAACAAGCTTAACAAGCACGCATGACGCAACGAAAAGAATCTTCCCCTGCGTAATACAGCGTGTCCAAAACGTACACAAAAAAAAAACAAATAGAGACAGAAGGGACACAAAAAAAAAAATCAGAGCGAGAAAAAAACCCTAGAGTGGTAAGTACCAAACGGCAACACACCCCCACACACAAACGGACGGCAGTCTCAACACCGGTTTTGCAACGAGAAGAAGGCGAAGCGGGCGAATGGTTCACGCTGCCGCGCACCTGGCTCCTCGTTGCCGACGCCACGTGCGACACCCAGCACTCCCTCAGACTCGGGGTCCACCCCGACGTCGTAGTGGCAGCCGGAAGCCCCTCTCG